TAGAAAAATGACGTGAATTGCAGGACTGGACTGTCCTCACATATACAGTACGTCTAGCAGAGGAACAGGTAAAGGATTATTCCATGCTGAAAAGAAAAGAGAACGTTCCGGCTGTGGAGCCTTCTTCAGGTCACACCTAAAGAAGACTCCACTGCCGAAACGTTGTTGCTTTTCTTTTACTTTCAGCATGGACTAAACCTTTACCTGTTCCTTTGCAGCCTATGAGTGCTGACACAGCTACCTACTGGAGCTACATATCTAGTGGATAAGCTCAGTACAACTATGAAAGGGGGTGCCACAGTAGGGATCCATCCATTCAGGCATTGCATGATCTCCCTGTATTCATGTGACAAGTACAGCTCTCCCTGTCCCTGTCCCTGTCCCTGTCACTAACACTTCAGAAAATCCAGTGTTACTTACATGCCCCCTGTTTTCAGGCAGGATGTCCCACACATTCGCTCCAATGCCAACACCTTTTTGAAAAGAACTTGAACTTGAACTTAATTGCCATATGTAACCGGTACATGTACTGGTACAATGGAATTCTTACTTTCAGAGAGTCTCTCAATTGTTAAAACAAAGAAAAAGGTTCTCACACAACATCTACACTTCTTGTAGTGCGATTTAGGGGACCTTCACATATAATACAAAAAACATCTATTCTTTTAAGACCCACGAAGCTCTTTATAAGAATAAAAAGGTTTCTGGACCAAATAAACACCAATATTACAAACTCAAGTACAACTACATCAACCCAACACAAACACTCTAACAACCACCTCAAAACTAATAACCATCCAGTGACACAGCAACACACCAGTTAACACAATGTGAAAATGCAACCTGAACAATAACTCAATAATACAATTAGTGAACACACCCAAGTGACTTTACAATTATATAGACTTACAGTAGTGTCCTATATAGCAGCCTCTAGTGGTAGGCAAGCTAATGTACCAATTCAGTCTTTTCCCAGTCTTGCCTGGCACGCTGTCGTCTATCTAGTTAACGCCGATGGATAGGGCTTTCTAGCATTGGTCTAGCATTTTTATGTCAATCAGTCCAATTTTCTAACTCAGGGTCACTAGGGAGCTGAAGCCTATCACAGCAAGCAACAGGCGTTAGACAGTTTAACCTTGATGTAACGCCAGTCTCTCGCAAGGCAGACAAAGAGACACACACAGACACAGACCAAACACACTCACGCCAGGTTCAGTTTTCCCAGAAACCAATGAACTTGCCGGTATGTTTTAAGACTAGGAGGAATCTGGAGCAGGAAACCCAAGCTCACATGGGGAGAGCACACAGGTCTGGCATTGAGCCCAGGGCACCAGAGCTGTGATGGCACAATGCAAAGCAGTGGTAGCTCACATTTGATTATATACTTCACACAGACTTGTTCAAAACAAATGTGTGACTGGTTTTCCCAGTTTGATAAAGATGTGATATAAAATATATGGTTTGTGAA